CACATAATAGTGATATTGCTATTTTTCCTCATCTTAGGCCAGTCTCTTCCTACTCTCAGTCTTAATTCTGCCCCTTGGTGCAGACATAAGGGTTTATATCCATCCCTAAGAGAAAGCCCTTCAGATATTTGAAGACTGTGATCAAGGCCCCCCCTTAAAACTCTTACTATGCAAGTTAAACTTTGTAGTTCTTACCATCATTCCTCTTATATTTTAGTGAAATTCTTTGCCATCCCAGTTGCCTTCGTCAGAAGATGCTTCAGTTGGCAGATGAATCAGGATGGACACTAAGACGGTCCAGTCAGCATAGAGAATGTGGAATTCCCTCCTTCCACCATGCAAATGAACCCAGTCCTCCCAGTACCAGAGCCAGGGCTGCCCTGTGCTTGTGCCCACCTCCCCACACTGTCAAGTCACATTGAACTTGAGTCTGTTCAAAATTTCAGGCCTTGCCCACATGAGCTTCTGTGGATGCCCATTCCTGTTTATATGCAAGTAATTGTTTAAGCCCCTTCATTTGTTATGGTCATCATTACTTGCTTTTCCCAGAAAAATTCACCCATTACTTCCAAATGCTAAGATTTTCTTCATTTTGCATTTTGATTCTGACATCAAAATGCAGAATAAACAGTGTGATTCTACAAGGCCAAACAAGGACAAGAAAGTTGTTTCTACTCAGAATAAGGATATCTCAAATACATTGAGCTATCTAGCAAGGGACTTGGTTATTTCTCCACCAGCGTTGCACTCAAACCAGGGCTGAATTAAACCATGTCTGCAGCGACGAAAAAGAAATTGCTGTTTCTCTCTCTCTCTCTCTCTCTCTCTCTCTCTCTCTCTCTCTCTCTCTCTCTCTCTCTCTCTCTGATCATGTCCTCTGAGCCTCAGTTTCTCCACTTGCATGAGGAAGGGATTCACCTACATAATCTCTAAGGGCCCTTGCAACCCTTACCCCACACTCTATCAGAATTAGTTTGTATTTGTTCTCAGAATCAAAGAATCCGAGATGTAAGACATGGGTAGGAGTTTTAAGGCTTATCATTTGCGTTAATAACCAGCACTGTTACAGTTGTTTCTTCCTATCTGTTTTCCTCCAGGAGACCTCAGACCTGCATCTACTCCCATTTCTCCAGGCCTGAGAGGTCAGTAACAGCTGCTAGAGACCACAAGAGCCATGGCATTTCTGGAGCGTACTATGCTGTCTTGGAGGGGAGGAAAGAGGGAAAGGAAGGGACTCTATCATTGCAAACCTTACAAGGGATCAGTCCTTGGAAAGTGATGTGAGCCCCAGGGCAGAGTCCATCCCCATCCCTCATGGAAACCCTGGCCCTTTCCACTGGACAAGCTCAAATGCCTCCCTCATGAACCCCACCCCCAGCTCAGCACAATGCTAGGCAAGATGCTGGCATGAGGGAAGGCAGGCATGCCGCTCTGGTGGTCCAGTGCCTTCACTGGAGAGAAGAAGCCAGGGGTGGAAAATAAATGAGTGAAGAGTTAGAGGTGGAGATTAGAGGTAGAGACTGTGGTGGGAGCCCTTCTTTGTTCATTGCCAACCTCACCTTCATCCCCAGATGCCCCAACCTTGCCACACTTTGTGGACCGGCATCGAGAGCAGCTGGTGGCTCGAGTGACATCGGTGGACTCTGTCCTGGACAAGCTGCATGGACGGGTGCTGAGCGAGGAGCAGTATGAGAGGGTGAGGGCCGAGCCCACCAACCCAAACCAGATGCGGAAGCTGTTCAGCTTCAGCAAGTCCTGGGACTGGGCCTGTAAAGATCAACTCTACCGAGCCCTGAAGGAGACCCATCCTCATCTAATTGTGGAACTCTGGGAGATGCAGGAGGATATGATTGTGTGAGCCCTGCACAACCACAGCACCTGAGGTGTGAACAGCTGCTTATGAGTCCTGGTTCTGCTGACCACTCTTTGGGTTTCAGCTTCTTCGTCTCTAAACATGTTGCAACCTGAGTTGCCTTCTAGCCGTAAAGTTATGGAACTTTGATGATGCATTTGCTGGGCATGCTATGTCCATGCCATGGATGCCAAACGGTCCCCCAGACTGCCTCCCTTGGCATTCACAGGACAGCTGTCCAATGGGATGACAGCATCTCAGAGAATGTCCACCTGTAGCTGGCAGGACATCTGCAGACCGTGCAGAAACCTAACTCAAGAGCCTCATGTAGTGGTGACCACAGCCCAGCCTAGAGCCATCCCTGTGCCATCCAGATAGAAGTAAGAAAAAAGAGGGAGTGGGACTGGACATGTCCAGCTGCAGAAAGATAATGGAAATGGACACCTTAAGAGTTTTGAATGGCTGGTGAATAGGAGAAAACAACAGGTTTAGTTTTCATTGTCCATGTTGCACTTGGTTTTTCTATTAGTGAATTGTGCTTTGTTGTTTCTGAAGTCTAGGTGAATTGCTAGAGCCATGAGAGGGGTGAAGAAGGAGATTACAGGGGAAATGCAGCCTAGGTTTTAGCTTAGATGCCTCCTTCTGTGGAAAGTGACTCCATGCCCTGCACCTGGCTTAGGTACCACTGTCTTGTGCCCCTGCAGCACCTTTTGTCCACACCCCATCAGACCACTCAGCACATGACATTGTCCCTCTTGTGTCATTGCTGGTCTCTCCCCCACTAGATCTTTAGCTCCCTGAAGGCAGGAGCCATGACTGCTTTGCTCATCAGTTTATTCCCAGTGCCCAGGGCAGTGCCTGGAACGTGGTGGGTATTAAGTGAGGACTTATGAGTAAGTAAATGGTAGAGAAACATTCCCCAGATACATCCTTTAATTCCTTTCCTGGCCTCCATACTGTATTAATCCAGGGGTACACACTAGTAACAATTTCCCAGTGAGTAGGCCACCCCATTGGACTCAGTGAATCAGTAATCTTAGAATTTCAACTATTGTTGTTGAAACATTTATACCAATGTTGTTCTCAACGTGTAAGAGCAAAGCTTCCCTCAGGCTGCCTGAGCCTAAGACACAGTGGCCCAAGTTGATTGCGCCTCCCTCTCCGTCACCCTCCTCCCTCAGAATCACATTCCTGCCATCCGCTTGGGCCTCCCCCTGTCCTTAGCCTCCACCACACAGCCTAGGGTGTCTCTTCTTTGTCCTCCCTGACTCTGAGGTCAATCTGTCAGTGAAATGAGGTAACTCAGGTATGAGCTCAGATCAGTGTTCAGCTCAGAGCACATAGTGAGTATACAACAAGCAGCAGGTATCGCCTGGTGTCACTGCTCCCTGGGTGTGTGAGAGGGGTCAGCATATCTCTCAACCTCCCACAACTGCTCCCAAAAAAATCAATAGGGGCAGTGCACAAAAATCAAGAAACTCATGAATGAAAAGCCCCACTGTTGTGGCAGCATCCCAGTTGCTTCATAAGCACGTGCAGAGGTGCCAATTTATGGACCCTTTGACTTTTGCTCAGGTCACATTGCTAACGTGTTCGGTACATTTTGCTGACTCTGTCAGGACCTTCCTCTGGATGAGAGAGTTCCTGAACTATGGTTCCCAGCTCCTAGCACTATCCTCTAGTGAAAGTGGAGTCCATCAGGACACCCAGACTTGAAAAGGAAGTTCTTTGCCTAAGATCCAGGGAAGTGTGCTGCTTTCTGGTTCCAGGTAGGATAAGCCTGTGCAGAAGGCATGATGTCGTNTCTATGATTGGGAACCTCAGCATATTTTATCTCTAAGCAGGGAGGACACAGCAAGCATAAAGCTATAACTGCTGAAACAGCAGTAAATGTTATAGCAGGTGGGGTGGTGTTTGGCTATTTGTGGGTGACATGGCATTCTGTCAAAGGGGACAATCTGCGAGGAATGAGCACAACAGGAGGGCAACATGGTTGAGATGGCAGCCTCAGATAACTGTTTAATAACTGAGGTCTAACTATGAGCATCACTTCAGGTCTTGGACATCAGGGGCTGTCTTGTGTCTTCCTCAGTCTCCTCTTTTGACAAAAGTGGGTGCTGTCAGGCCACTGGACACTCATCCATGATGTCCAAATTTTCACCATTGCCCAGATAATGCTGCTGGGGTCAGGGTCCACTGAATGGTAGTTTGTTCTTGAACCACGGTCAGTCCTTCTTTTTGCTTCCATTGTCCAGTGAGCCTTTGGACCACCTTAAGTAATAACCACAGATGGAAGGGATGTCCAGTTGTTAGCAGGAAGTGTGATATATCTTTTTAGTTGGGAAACACGAGTCCCAGGATGAATGCCTCAGATTTACCTGCTACGTCAGTTATTAACAAGGGCTAAGAGACATGATTCAGTCATTCAATAAACACTTACTCAGTGCCAACTACATTGTCTTCATTTGGGACAGTTCAGTGAACAAGACAGACAAGGCCCTGTCCTTGGGAAGATGAGATCCAGTGGGATGAAACTTACATAAATATTAAAGAAATAGTGACCAACAACCATGAAGTGCTGTGAGGAAGATACAACCAGGCCATGTAAGACAGTGACTTGGGCTACTCCATACTGGGTGGTCAGGGCAGGTGTCTCTGAGGAGGTGACATTGGAGCTGAGACCTGAGTGACAAGAAAGGTTCTGGCAGGTGAACATTTGTGGCAGATGGCTTCAGAGGCATTGAGGAGCAGGCACGCTTATAACTCCACATGATAAAATGGAGGCCAGTATGGCAGAGCTTAATGACTGTAGCAAATGAGAGCAGGAAGATGGGTCAGACAAGAGGCAGAGGTTTCCTAGGGCCAACACTCTTTGGTCCTGATGCAGAATTTAGATTTTGTTCCAAGTACAATGACAAGATCCTAGAGGGTCTTAGACTTGGTAATACAGGAGCTGATTTGCTTTCACATAGATGCTTCTGGCTTCTGGGTAAGAATGTATAATGATGAGGCAAGAGTGGAAGCAGAGAGGTAAGCTGAAAGGCTATTGCAATAGTGCAGGAAGGAGTTGATGGCATCTTGATTAGGGAGGTAGCAGTGGAGATGGAGAAAGCTGAGCGACTCAGGGTATATGTTGCAGGTAGAGCCAATAGGACTTGGCATATGGGAGAGAAAGGTAGGCCTTATGATATCCAAATCTGGAACTTAGGTGCTCAGTGCATGGTAGTGCCATTTACTGAATTTGGGAAACAGAGGAGGGAGTGTGTTTGGAAGACAGTTGAGAATCAAGATTCTGTCTTGAATGGGATTTAGGAAAGGGGATGGATATAAATTTTCTGTTTATTGAAAGTGGATCAAGCTTAGGGTCCATGGAGAAAGACAGGCTTTGGGCTGGAGAAATGAGTGATTGGGTTTAACATGGGGAAGATGTAGGGAAAGGGATCTGGTTCAAGATGCAAAGAGAAGGAACTGGTTTAGGATGTGTGATTACTACATTATGAATGAGTCCTGACTCATCCAGGATAAGCTGTGTCCTTATCCTTCTGAGTCAGGATTTACAGAAAATTAGGAAAAGAGCAGTGCCTGAAGTGGTGATTAATTTCACTATAGATCATACAACGAACCCTGTGGAATAGAGCTGGGCCAAGAGCTTGCCACGCTGGGAAAAACCTGACTTGCAGAATACACCATGGCTTCTCACATGACAACTCTTTCTCTCTTCAGGAACTGGAGCTCTGCTATCGGAGTCCTGGTGAACCCCA